TTACCTTCGTTCACTGAGTATATCTTGCCACGAGATGGAACTTTGATCTAAAAAAATTTGATATAAAATGGTTATTACATAAAAGAATGCTCGTTGTGACCCACCCATTAGATCCGGTGTAACGTGAGATCAAAACTAACCAGTTGCGCATTAGTTTAAGGTAGGGATTGGCATTAAGATAGGGTTAGGGTAAAGCATTAACAAAAAACGTTCCTATCCCAAAATTTTGCAAGGATTTTTTTTATTAGAATGCAAAGGAGCTACAAGCGATTTTTAGAAACATCGCGATTTCACGTTACACCTGATCTTACAATCTGATTGGTTGATCAGATGGGTGCACATGCGCTAAGCGGGATCTATTTTTCGATGGAGCAACTTATAGCAACGTTTGGTCTTAGCCGAATTTTTCCAATTCAAAATAGCCTGGGGCGTGGCCTTTGTATCGATTCGGTCTAACATAGACTCTCCAAAAACTACAAAAAAAATATGAAAGTATTCTCAAATATACTTACATCTGGATGAGTAAGGATAAATTCACCAATACCCTATAAAACTAACCATAATAAGAATCTATCAAAATTCATTTACAAAATATCACATTAGAGCTTACATTATCAAGGGTATAGCCATTCACTCCATTTCCGACCGTAAGAACCATGTTTGCCGAACTACCATACATACAGTAACCGGCAACAACCATTTCGTTACCGGGGCGAAGAACATCCTTGACTGTCCCGGATGATCCCTCATCCTTTTATAACCACTAAGATTATTCGATGTACAAAATTGTAATGTCATAAAATGGAAATTTAAAAGTAATAGCTTACCACACGATAGATGCCAAAAATTGTACCAACATTAACACCAGCATCAATATTAGAAGAACCGTCTAACGGATCAAACACTACACAATATTTCCCTTTCAATCCTTCTTCAACAATGATTGCTTCTTCATCTTCTTCAGAAACCATCACGGCTACTTTTCCGGAAGAACGAAGTGCATTGATAAAAATTTCATTTGAGATAACGTCAAGTTTTTTTTGTTCATCACCCGAAATATTTTGTGTACCGCCAGCAAGACCAATTCTGATAAAAAAAATAAATTTATAAGTTCCAAGTGATATCAAGACTTGATATGAATTTATGAATTTTATTTTTGGGCAAACGACAGCCTGAAAATTCGACCGTTTAAAATAAATTCTTACAGATTTAATAACCGCGCCCTTCGAACATTGGCAGCTACGAATTTACAACCAAGTTGAATGGCATTCAATAGTAAAGTTAAATCGCCACTGGCATCCTTGTGTCTACGTTGCTCGTCAAGAACATGTCGAGTCAACGTAATAATGTCGGTTGTAACCTTTTCATCGCTCATGATAAATATTTTAAATGTGTTTAGGGTGGTTGAAACCTTATTCGATATGTCTTTTTAAATAGTGGGTGATTCGGTCAACAAATTGATCTACGACCCGCATAACCAAACGGAGAATAGATTCAATAGATTCAATAGATTTAATAGATGACCGGATTCATCGGATTGAGTAGATTGAGTGGTCGATACTGGGGAAGATATCCTTAAATTTAGATATGATTGTCAACCGCACGCGGTAAAACGCGCTTTTTTTCTATTTACAAAATGAATGGTTTGCGACGAAGAATATTGGAACATCTTTGACTTTTATGGAGCTTGGATCAACGCTAATGAAGGTCTTTTTGATGGTTCTACTCCAAAATCACGAAAGACAGATTCTCGAAAAGGACACAATACCGACAAAGTTAGCCAGCATTAGTTATAATGCTGGCTAATTTAGTCAATATTATGTTCTTTCGGGGAGATGGCCTTCGGGATTTTGGGGTAGAACCATTTGATATGAACACAAATTTGATAAACAATCTAAAAAAAGCAAATTTATAGTGACCATAATTTATACTTTTTTTTTCTGCAGTCAGATTCTTTAACTAACTAATTTGTATTTAAACTATCTAACTTTTTAAATCAGACCATTAAGGTTAGTTATATATTTATTATCCGTCCCTGGTATAGCATGATTGTGTCGCGCAGATTCTTATATGTTTGGTGAAATAGAGTAAGCCAAATGTTACTGTATGTTTTCATTTGATTATTTTTTTAGACAATCAGTTACAGATTCTATATAAAGCATAATCTTTGGACATATTTAAGAATGCCAATTTTTTGTAACCATAATGTCACCCATCTGTATATTAAATTTCGCAATTTCGCTTTAGATGAATAATTTTGACTTTATGTTTGTGCGCAAACTAGGCTTATATAACGAATATAATTTTCTCCTTGTTATTATTTTTATTTGTACATGGATGGAATCCTTTCTCAAAAATACAACCATCATTTATCAACGCTATTTTTCTCCTCTTTGTTTCATAGAAAATTATTAATCATTGCATTATTTATACATTGCATATATACAGTAATTGAAGGATGCATGTTCTTTGCATTTAAAATGATAAATTCATCTATTATGCTAACTTTATTTATTCTATTGCTGTCTTTTCAATATATGACTTCTTTATTTTTCACGGTATGCTATTTTATTATAATCCGTGGTATTCTTGATTTATGTATTAATTTCACATTATTATATTTAGATCACTAAACGAATGGTTTCACACACAATTATTTTCCTGTTTGTGAATTGTTTAATAAAATTCGAATTCTTTTTTGACATTTATTATTATATAATCGATTTTGGATTGACTTTATTAATATTTATCTTAAGCATACTTGCATACTATCAACGGTATGAATTATTTTATATCTGAAATCAATTTCTACATTGTATGATTTTTTTTTTTGATTTTTTTTCTAATATTTAAGAAAGCGTAAAAATGATTTTGATATTGAAATTATTAATATAACATCTCAAAAAAATCGGCCTGTTATTATGCGTAGTACTTTAGTATTTAAATGCTATTGTTGTCGTATCATTTTACTAATAGTTTTATTATAGAATTGTACAAATGGTACAAATTTCAGCAAGTTCTTGCCCATTCACAGACCTTTACTTTTTCAATCCTTAAATATTGGTGGACATTGTGCTATGTAACTATGCTATATCAAAGCAATCTCAACATTATACAAATAATGACTTTGTTTCCGTGGTCCCTCATATTGCCACCAATAATTGCATTTACAATGATCAAAGGGGTAAGAAAAAATAATTAGGCTTTTTTTTAAAATGATAAATAATAACTTAGAATTTATAAATTTTAAAAGGTTAAAACTGAATCAAAAACTATAATGAAAATATTTTATTTGTGCAACATACTACTAATTGGAGCTTTTGGTCTTTTAATTTATAATTCTATTCATATTTTATCAATTAATAATTTTCCAATATATCCCTTAACAGCTTTGACTATACCAATTTTTGTTTTATTGCTTTCAGTAATTAATTCTATTATTTGTTCAAGAAATTTTGAAAAAAATTTAAAAATATATTGTAAGTATTATTTTTACATTTCTATAGCTTTATTAGAATATATTAATTTATAAATAATTTAATATTTTAGTAAATCATCAATCATGGTCAGAAGTTTTAGAAGATTATAGCTATAATATTGATTTTGAATAAGAATTTTAAATTAATGCACTAGTGCACTAAAACTATAGATGCAGACTTATGACATCACCTAGTTACGTCCTACATAAATAATCGGTTTATAAAATAAGCCACAATTGAGCTGTAACTAGTAACGTCAATAAGTCTGCATCTATAACTAAAACCAGACATCAATAAGCCTTATATACATGCTTCATACATATAATACAAATTTCAAATTGATCATTATCATTAAATTATAAGTACCTTTTTTAAATCAATGAGCTTGTACTAATTTACTCTGTAAAACATAAAGAATATTAATTGTCGCAGCTAATGTTGAAAACGACTGATGCTGAAATTTTGGGTCTCTATTTAGAACTATAAACCTACTAAAATCCATCTATACACTTTAATTAACAAACCTTGACCCTAAACTCTACTCAAACTATTATATTATGGCTAAAAAATGCACCCCAAAGAATTGTAAAAATTAATAATAAAATAATCAAAATTTCAGCATCAGCTGTAACATTAATTAAGGGTTCAAATAGATATATTTATTTTTTGATTTATTTGATCTGTTACTGATAAGTACTAGTTATCTGTAGTGTTTTGATTGATAACTGATTATTCACCAGGATGAAAAATCAGTCATCAATCACTAAAACTCGACTGATAACTAAGTTATCCGACATGTCTGACGTAAACATCGAACGATTTTTGTATAAGTTATTCGGCAACCACCCCCTAATACAAATACACAAATTTTCATCACCGCTTTAAGAGGTGATGAAAATTTGTGTATTTGTATTAGGGGTGGCCGAATAACTTATACAAAAATCGTTCGGTGTTTACGTCAGACATGTCGGATAATTGACGTTATAGGAACAAATTCAGTTTGGCTTGATTTTTGAATCTACATGTCAATAAATCACTCTGAAATCGCTATGTTAAAGCAGTGATGATATGCCAAAAATTTGTTACTAAGCAACATCACTTAAATAAAAACTAATTAAACCTTATTTTAAAATTGACTCTTTGAAAACTAGAAACGATGTCCCTATAAGGGAGGCTTGGCTTGGTTAATTGATAGTGAGTAGTGGGTAAGCGAATGTAACAGATGGATAGGTAAAAATAAATAGGTTAACAAATAAGAAAATGTATATAGATAAAATGAAATAATAAAATATATAAGGCGAATAAATAATAGACATTAATTAATTTATTATACTATTTTATTAATTACATATTTTGTTTGTTTTACCATAATTTATCAATTATATTTGTTTAACATTACTCTATATTCATCACAATGTAGTAAATTATAGTTTTTCAGATGAAAATTTTTTTATAGAATAGTTAGCCTGGTTGGCCAGGCTGAGTAATTTTGGCAGCCTGGTCGACTCAGAGGTTTGGTATTGGCCCGTATCACTAGTCATGCTCAATCATAAAAATCATGTTTTAATAAAAATCATGTGTTCGACACAGCCAATCAAAAGCATTTTAAAGGCTACATTTTGGCGGCGAGTTGGAGAGTTGAAAGTAGTGGAGATGGAGAAGTAATGGAGATTACAAGTAGTAGAGATGATGATCAAAGAATGTTGTAATTTGAGCGAAGGTTTAATAATTAATTTGAGCAAAGATTTAGTAAGTAAAGGCTTAATAAGTTATATAAAAAAATAATTTAAGCGAAGGTTTAATTTATATAAAAAAATAGAGGTTTAATAAGTAATTTAAGCAAAGGTTTACTAAAAAATAATTTGAGCAAAGATATAATAATTAATTTGAGCAAAGGTATAATGTGCAGGTAACCAATCAAAATGTTTACTCAGCATTAGATGGCACAGTATAAATCGATATGCCATAATAATTGAATAAGGTAGCTGCACGACGTTGTAATGCGAAACCAGGAACGTAAATTGCAAACAATGATAAGCACTATTTAAATTAGTTTAAACTGTGAAGTATAACTATGGCTTAAGGTATTATGATGCAATTTATTACTTTATATTATTGTTTAATACTGTAAGGTGGAAGTAACATACAATCTTTGAGCATTTTAAATATGGTGATTTCTTATTGTATATATATATATATTTTTGTGCTTTACAGTTTGATGGAGGCAAGGCTAGATTTTGTGTATTATTATTTCCAATATAGCATTTATTAATAAACGTATATTTTCAGAGCAGTCTATAGTATTATTAATGTTAATCGTAAATGTATAATTTTAGCTTTAGACATTAACAGTATCTATTTTTTTTAGTTGATAATCGGAACTCTTCTTTAGCGAATAACAGAACTTAAAAAAAAAATCGATCTCTGCATCAGCATAAAAGGTCTTTAATGAGTTTAATCAAATAAGCAATTTGATTCTGTGGCATGTGATGACTATGAATTATTCTTTACAATATATTATTATCAGGGTTGGTCAAATTACTAGTCGACCAAAAATTCATTGGTCAAACTGGTCTGGTCAAATTGGTCAAATGATCTAGTCGAATTGGTCAAATGGTCTAGTCTATTAATTAAATAAATTTATTATCTAAAATAAATAAATAAATAAATAAATATATATATATAATATATATATTTAAATATCCTTTGACCAATTTGATCAATACTAAACCCTTTGACCAACTGGTCAAATTGGTCAAACTGGTCTGGTCAAGCTTGACCATTGACCGGTCCATGCCAACCCTGATTATTATATATACGTACGTACGTAGATACAATTTTATTAATCGAATATTCTTGTAGATTCCAGAACGTGAAAAACCGGTCAGTAACTTGA